GAGCGAGTCAGAGAAGGAGGTGGAGAGATGGAGGAAGAGGGTGGAGGAGGTAGAGGAGGACAATAATAGACTGAGAAATGAAACCTCCGAACTTAAGGAGGACAGACAGGAGGAGAAATTGCAGGATGAAAGGAGGAGGAGAAGGGAGGAGGAGGTGGACAGACTGAAGAGCGAGTCAGAGAAGGAGGTGGAGCGATGGAGAAGGAGGGTGGAGGAGGTGGAAGAGGAGGTTAACAGATTGAGAAAAGAAACCTCCAAACTAGAGGAGGAAAGGAGAGAGAAGGAGAAACTGCAAGACAAGGAGTTGGAAATGAGGAGGAGAAGGGAGGAGGAGGTGGAAAAACTGAGGAGTGAACTGAGGATAGCGGAGGAGGAGGAGGAGAGACTGCTGGAGAAGGTGGGGGAGGTGGAGCTCTTGAGGGTGAGGCTGAATGTGGCCACGGAGGAGTGTGAGGAGATGAAGGAGGAGGTGGAGAGGAGGGAGCGCAGCCTGGAGCGACAGATGAGTGCCGTGAGGGAGAGGGAGGAGGAGGTGGAGGAGCTGAAGAAGCGACTGAGACTGGTAACAGAGCGAGAGGAGGAGGGAACGAGGGAGCATCAGGAGGCGAACGCCAAACTGAAGCAGAAGGAGGCGAAGGTGGAGCAGCTGGAGGAGCTGCTGAAAGAAACCCGGGTGCTCCTTCAGAAAGAGAGGAGGGATGGAGGAGAAAAAGACAACAGGATCTCCTCCCTGGCCAGGGAGCTGCAGGAGGCTCAGGCCGAAAGTGAGGGAGCGAGGAGGAGAGCCAGAGAGAAGGAGGAGGCCCAGGACCGGCTTGAGGAGGAGGTGAAGGAGTGGAGGGAGAAGGCAGAGCTGAGCGCGAGAGAGGCAGCAAAGCTCAGCCATATCCTGAAGGAGCGAGAGGAGGAGGCGCAGCAGCTGAGAGACACTCTGGAGGAGAAAGAAGAGGAGGGGAGAGAGAGGGAGGTGCTGATGAGAACAGAGCTGGAGAGGAGGCGGAGGCTGGAAGAGAAAGTGAGGGAGGTGGAGGAGGAGCGGGAGGAAGAAAGGGAAGCACTGAGGAGAGCCAGGGAGGAGAGGAGGAGGTTGGAGGAGGAGCTGATAGAGAGGGAGAAAGAAGTGGAGGAACAGAGGGAGATACTGAGGAGTAAAGAGGAGGAGAAAAGGAGACTAGAGGATGAACTGAGGGAGTTGAAAGAGGAGCGAGGGAGACTGCTGGAGGCTGCGAGAGGTCAGCACCTCCTGTTGGAGGAGAAAGGGAGGTCCAGAGAGAGAGAACTGGAGGAGGAGAAGGCAGGACTGTCTAAGGAGCTGAGGAGGAAGGAGAGGGAGGTGACAGCACTCAGAGAGGAGGTACAGAGGGAGAGGGATAAGACACAGGAGGAGCTGAGGAGGAGGAGAGAGGAGGTGTCTGTATTTAGAGAGGAGGTATTAAGGGAACAAAGGAAGAAGGAGGAGGCACAGGAGGAGTTAATAAAGAGGAGAGAAGAGGTGACAGCTCTCAGAGAGGAGGTGCAGAATGAGTGGAGGCAGATGGAGGAGATGCAGGAGGAGCTGAGAAGGACCAAGAATGAGCTGACAGTCCTTAGTGGGGAGGTGCAGAAGGAGGAAAAGGAGAAGGAAGAGGTACAGGAGAAGTTAATTAGGACAGAGAAAGAGGTGACGGCTCTCAGAGAGGAGGTGCAGAATGAGCGGAGGAGCAGGACAGAGGTCCGGGAGGAGCTGAGGCAGAGGGAGGAGCTACAGGATGAGCTGAGGAGGAGCGAGAGAGAAGTGTCTGTACTTAGAGAGGAGGTACAAAGGGAGAAGGAGGAGATGCATGAGGAGCTGATGAAGAGGAGAGAAGAGGTTACAGCTCTCAGAGAGGAGGTGCAGACAGAGTGGAGGAGGAGGGCGGAGATGCAGGAGGAGCTGAGGAGGACCAAGAATGAGCTGACAGTCGTCACAGAGGAGGTGCAGAAGGAGGAGCAGGTACAGGAGAAGTTAATGAGAACAGAGAAGGAGGTGACGGCTCTCAAAGAGGAGGTGCAGAATGAGCGGAGGAGGAGGGCGGAGGTCCAGGAGGAGCTGAGAGGAGTCCAGCAGAGTGTGGAGGTGAACCTGAGCTCCCTGCAGATTCAGGTAGTCACACTGTACGGTGGCTCAACGCCAACGCTCTGTTTCTGTTTCAGGTGTCTGGTCTGAGCCGGGAGCGAGCGAGGCAGGAGGTGAAGGAGAAGGAGGAGGAGAAGCAGCAGATGAGGGAGGGTCTGAGGGCGGCGCTGGAGGAGATGACCAAGCTGAAACTGCTCCTGCAGGTACAGCACCTCCTGCTGGAGCTCTGAGAGAGGAGCAGTTAGTGGATTCATTAGATCAGTTTGTTTACTCCTCCTCATTTTTCCACCTCCTGCTGTTTAGGAGAGCCACACAGAGGGGGAGCGCCTGAGGAGCGCTCTGAAGGAGAAGAAAGAGGAGATGGAGAGGTTCAGAGAGGAGAACCTGCGGACTGCGAGGGAGGAGGCGATACGAGACAGCGAGGAGGTGGAGAAGGAGAGAGGAGAGGTGGAGGAGCTGAGAGCCAGAGCTAAGGCCCTGGAGAGGAGGAGGAGGGAGATGATGGAGGAGCTAGAGGAGGCTCGACAGGCGAAGGAGAAGGAGGAGGAGCGGTGGAGGAGCAAAGTGGAAGAGATGGAGGAGGAGCAGGAGGTGAAGCTGAAGGCTCTGTTGACAGAAATCCAGACACTGAAGGAGAGGGAGGAGGAGACGCTGAAGGAGTGGAAGTCCAGGGTGGAGGAGGTGACGAGGGAGGTGGAGGAGCAGAAAACACAGCTCTCCTCACTGACTGCTCAGAAAGAGGAGGAGAGAGAGGAGATGGATGGACAGAAGAGGAGGAGAAACCAAGAGACAGATGACGAGGAGAGAGGAGGAGGAGAGGTGAGTGGGAGGAGGTGGATTTTCTGTCCATCAAATACAAGTAAACACATTTTAATGTTTAATTATTGTTTCCTGAGGAGCAGCAGCAGGAGGAGCAGGAGGAGAAAGAAGAGACGAGGAGGCTGCTGAGGGAGAGAGAAGCTGAGGTAAAACCAGTGATGAACTCCCTCCACAGTTTATTACATATATGTTATATATTAATGTATAAAAACATTAAGGAACAGC